CTCATAGCGACCCCTCCTTGGGTTTCCGAGGCAGTATCACTACGGAAGTAGGATTGCCCAACCTTGCTTCTGAGGAGTGGCTGGTGGGTTTGAACCGCCAGCCTCCTGGTGAGCAGTCAAGTGCCTTAGGCACTATGCTACCAGAGCTCCCTCATTAGCACAATGCAAATCCACCTGCAGCCTACTCAGGGGTCCAGTCAGGCGAATATACTCAGATTACATCACCTTTGTTTTAGACCATTTGGTTTAAATAGGTATATTATCTCATCTGGCTACTAAGTTATAATATTTTATGATTAATTGAATATTTACACATGATGAAAGGAGCTCTGGTGGTGCAGTAGTTAAGGCATTGGGCTGCTAACCAAAAGGTCAGTGGTTTGAACACAACAGCCTCTCTGCGGGGGAAAAAGATGAGGTTGTCTGCTTCCATAAAGATTTATAGCCTTGGAAACACTATGGGGTCAGAGAACTATGAGTTGGAATTGACTCAGTGGCAGTGGGTTTGGTTTTTAGTAATACGATTTAGATGAGAGTCAAATTATTAAAGTAACAACAATTTCCCTGCTTGTGCTAAACCCAGCTTGATAAAATTTTCAGAGTCTTATATTTACCTAGTATGTTTACTTTATTAATAACCTAGTGCTGAGCTAGAATTACTAATTAACACTAAAGCCTCAATCAGTCTTACTGCAAGTCTTACCATCAGGACATTGTTAGCTAATGCTCAGTTAGCTTTTTTACAGTGAGTGCACATCATAACTTAGCTTTGACCTTGCAATGTTATGAAGGTCAGGAAGGAAATAAAAGAAAGCTAATATTTAGTGGGGAGCTCTGGTAGCATAGTGGCTAAGGCACTTGACTGCTAACCAGAAGGCTGGCGGTTCAAACCCACCAGCCACTCCTTGGAAGGAAGATGGGGCAATCTACTTCCATAGTGATACTGCCTTGGAAACCCAAGGAGGGGTCGCTATGAGTCGGGTCCGACTCGACGGCACATAACAACAACAACAACAACAATATTTAGTGGGGCTTGCATGTGCTTCAAAAGGAGCTCTCGTAGCACATTGCCTAAGGCATTTGACTGCTAACCAGAGGGTTGGTGGTTCAAACCCACCAGCCTCTCCGTGGAAAGAAGATGGGGCAATCTACTTCCATAAAGATTTACCACCTCACACACACAATGGGGGTCACTATGAGTTGGAATCGACTTGATGGCAGTGAGTTTGTTTTTGGTTTTTGGTATGTGCTTCTGGAGTCCCTGGGTGGTACCAACAGTTCATGTGCCCAGCTGCTGACTGAAAGGTTGGTGGTTTGAGTCCCCCCAAAGGTAACTGAGAAGAAAGGCCTGGTGATTTGAAAGATCAGCCACTGAAAACCCTGGAGCCCAGTTCTACCCTGACACACATGGGGTTGCCGTGAGCCAGAAGTGACTTGATAGCAACTGGTGTGTACATGCTTCTAGAATTTTTATACAGATTTTTACTGACAGAGTATTACTATAAAACAGGTACTACCACCCCCATTTTATAGACGGGCAAATAGAGACTTGGAGAGTAATGTGCGTGGTTCCAGTAATCCAGTGGCAGATATAGTGCAAAAACCCAGACCTCCTGACTCTGAACTTGGTGCATTTCATGATTTAGCCTACAGATGCAGAAACAATCAGAGAAGCATGCAGTTTGGAAATAGATTATAATGGGACTTTTCCTTTGCCCTTTTTAACACTGCCATTCATGAAAAAAATATTTTAGTTCAATTTTTCCAAGTGTTGAGTTTCGGAGACTTTCAATTAAAGGTGATATTTTAGTCACTTACCAATGCCCTCAGTTCCTCCCCAATCACCTCTTAAAGAGTTAGGACTTAGAGGAAGTTCAAAGCATGCGGGGCAGTTTCCAAGTTTAGCAAAACTGCAGAGGTAGGCCACAATGTCATGGAGAGGAGCCATCAGCTGTAATGTTAGCTGTAAGGCTCTAAAAGCTGCCTGTGGGTGAAATCAATACAAGGAAGTAAGTTCAGGAAGATTCTGAGAGGCATATAAAAATATGTGAATATTGATTAGGGACAATATCTTTCAACACAAATATTGAAGCAAACATTTTCACAGTAAGTACAAGATAATATGTGAAAAAGGGCAACAAACCTATTATGAAGGCAGGTTATATGTCTTTGGACAAGGTAATTTCTGTACGGGGGTAAAGCAATGTTTCTCTTTGTTTAAGGCCACTAGTGGTCATAAATGTATAATCAAAATGTATCTGCATGGCCACCAATGAATTACAAAGATTACAAATAAATTGGCAGCGGTGAGACAGGCAGGGAACCAGGCCAGATCAAAAGCCTCTGACTCAGTATTCTTGGAGTCTAAGCCTGTGTACAGACCACCATGTAACTATTGCTGCTGGCGACAGCAAACTGCTTGTGATTAACAAGCCAGGCCCTTAGGCAAGATATTTCAAAAGCCCTACAAGTTAGACCAGTTGTAAAATGCTGATACACCTCCTGTGTTTTCCTTCAAGTACCTTACCAGGTGTAGAGCATGCACAGTAAAATTCAATGTGACCAACAAAGTGACTTTCTACCAGAGACAGTCAAGAACAGGAGTCCCTCGCTAGGACTCTAACCAGTGTCCAGAGACACCACGCATGCACAACATCCCAGAATAAGTCAAGTCAAGTATCCCAGCAGCCTTCATGATGAGTTCCATCTTTGTTTCAACAGCTTTGTGGTAGAATCCATCTTCCCTATTTCCTGCATATGCATCTGATCTTCAAAACCCCACCTCTTTCCCACAGATCCCCACCAATTTCATGAATAATGATGCCGTTTTCTCCACCTAAAATCCTTCATAAACCCTAGGAAATCCTTTGTTCTGAGAGACTGGAGACTAGTGTAGGTGGAAGCCCCACTCTGTCTTACCCTTGCAAGCCCCTCCCCTCTCCTTTTCTTTAGTAAACTTTGGTTCATGCGGTCATTTTGCCTCTCTTGTTCAATTCTTTATCAGTAGAAGGCAAAGATCTTCGCTCAGGGTCCCAGGACCCCCAGTAACAGCAAGGACCCACATTCAGACATTGTCCAGAGTGAGTAGCTATAAGCAAAGTATAAGCTGCCTTAGATATTTATCAATGTTGTTTAAACTAAAACAAATCAAACCACTGCCATCAAATTGATTCCAACTCATAGTGACCCTATAGAACAGTGTAGAACTGTCCAATAGGGTTTCTAAGGCTGTAAATCCTTGTGGGAGCAGATTGGCTCATCTTGCTCCCATGGAGCAGCTGGTGGGTTCAAACCACAAACTTTTGGTTAACAGCCCAATGCTTTAACCACCCCACACCAGAGCTCCCTTGTTTAAACTAACACACAACTAAAAAACAAACAATGGGTCTTAAATATCAACACTAAAGGCAAAGAGAAAATTATAGTCTAACTGCAGTAGGTGGTATTTTTATATTTAAGGAAAAAAAAAAAAAAAAACCTGAAAATTCTTCAGTGAAAAAAAGGGTGAGAAACTTAGGTTGTTGAGCATGTTTTCACTTACGAAGAAAATAAGGATATTCCTAAATTGATTGTGAACATTACTTTTATTTAACAAATACTTTTGAGTGCTTTATATGTTTTTAAACAAAACCAAAAACCAAACTCACTGACATGGAGTCAGATCTGACTCATAGCAACCCTCCTTGGGTTTCCAAGGCGGTATCACTACGGAGGTAGATTGCCCAACCTTCCTTCCAGGGAATCGCTGTTGGGTTTGAACCACCAGCCTTCTGGTTAGCAGTGAAATGTCTTAGGCAATCCCCCACCAGAGCTCCTATATCTTTTTATATCCATTTTTATAATGGTTACCAATATTACCCAATATCATTAAATTATGTACATAGAGCAAACCCTCAGCAACATAACCAGTTGAGTTACTAATGTTAGCTCAGCCTCACATTAGCTCCAGGGCATTAGGGTGGAGTTTTCTCAATGGGTTTGAGAGGAAGTTGAGGTTTAATAAGAAATACTGGAAGCCTGAATTGATGTTCATTAATGACCAGGGAGAAACAGGGCTCACGAAATAATGAGACCCAAGAAAAGTTATAATAAAGCAAGCAAAGATACCAGGAGTTGTGAGAAGATTTCAGTTATTAGATGTTTCTGAAAAAACAAAACAAAACAAAAAAACCAAAAGATGTTCTTGGGAATTGTTGTGTTTAATTGGGAGACATTAAGAAAACAAAGATACAAACAAAATAGTTTTCATTCTGACACAAGTTTAAAAATAAATACAGACCTTTTCTGGCAGAGTTTTGAACATAACCAACACTTCAGAAGGATGAGGAATGAACCATAAATTAAGGAAGACTTTTCCATCAGCAGACAGCAAACATCGTGGCCTGGGCTGAAAACTCCTGTGGCATTAAGAGAAAGAAGCGATAACATCATTTTCTCCTACAAAGAGGCATCGTGGGGTGTGAACTCTTTCAACAGGCTCCTCTGGCCACAGCACCCAAGCCTGGCCCAGCCGTCCTTTTCTGGCTGAGCCAGGTGGCTACAGTTATAAATAATTCAATGGGAAGAGGGCAGCTGGGCTGATTTTACTCTCAGTAGTGTTGAAGCAGGGAGTGGGAATGGAGAGAGGGAAAGGTAAGGTAAGAAAGGGAAGGGCATGAATTAGGTAGCCTGCACCATGCTTGGTGTTTTGCAAATGGACATATTTTTATCTCACTTCCTTCTTAAGACAATTTTTGTCATCCTCGTTGTTAGCTGCCCTAAGTTGGCTCTGACTCAGTGACTGCATGCACAACTGGATTACACTGTTGTGATCCACAGAGTCTTCACTGGTTGGTTTTTCAGAAGTAGATTGCCAGGCCTTTCTTCCTAGTCTGTCTTAATCTGGAAGCTCCACTAGAATCTATTCAGCATCATAGCAACGCACAAGGCCTCCACTGACAGATGGGTGGTAACTGCACATGAAGTGACTTGGCCAGGAATCAACCCAGGCCTCCTGCCTGGATGGTGAGAATTCTACCACTGAACTACTACTGCCCTTAGGACAACCTGTTGTTAGTTGCTGTTGAGTCAATTCTGGCTCATGGTGACCCTGCATGTATTCTTAGAACTTGACAACCTTAGGATGTACATATTTTTGTTCCTGTTTCACAGATAATGAAATTGAAAGGTTACCTAGGTCTTGCCTACCCAAGCTCCTAAGAGAACAAGTTAGGATTAAATGCAGATCTATCAGGACAGCTCCAGGGATCAGCTCTAATTTTCTTCCCTCCCCCATGTTTTTCAGGGGATCTGGCCCCTGCCTGGTTCTCACAGCCTCTGGCCTTCTGTTCTTTCTTCTTCCTCTCTGCTGTCCTATAAATACATTATAATGTCTTATAATGATAAAGCAACTTTTATGCTTTTGTGTATAAATTTTCTGAATCATATACAAGAAATGGTTGACAAAGGGGATCAGTGCAGGAGATCCTGGATAAAGTGGGAGAACAATGTGAAATAAAACTCAAAATCATAAAAAAGGAAAAAAAAGACCAGGTTTGCTGGTCTGACAGAGTCTGGTGAGACCCCTGAGACTATGGTACCTAGTTTCCCTTCAGTTCTGGAACTGAACTCACTCCCGTGGCTTCCAGCCAAACCATAGACAAGCATATGGGGTGAACATTTACATTAGGTAAGGCATTTGACTGCTAACCAGAAGGCTGGCGGTTCAAACCCACCAGCCACTCCTCAGTAGGAAGATTGGCCGATCTACTTCCATAGTGATACTGCCTCAGAAACCCAAGGAGGGGTTGCTATGAGTCAGATCGGACAGCGAGTTTGGTTTTTTGGTTAGTTACAGTCCTTAGAGTGATCAATCGATCAATCAATCGTGGGAGACAGAAGAGCAGTGTTTACACAGGGAGACAGCTGGGGGGCAGACGTGCATGGGAGGGAGGGACACAAGGAAGAGGTAACTATGGGGAGGAAGTGGGAAGAGAGCTGTTACATTGTGGGGAATGGCAGTCAATGTCATGAAACAAAATATGTATGAACTGCTGTATGGAAAATGAATTTGCTCTGTAAACTTTTCACCCAAATCACAATAAAAATTAAAAAAAAGAAATGGTTGACATTATTTATCTCTAATGTGGAAAGTGTAACCAGGAAGAGAGAAATAATTGTTGCTACATGTTGTAAAGTCAGCTCCTAACTCATGGGGACCCTGTGCACAATGCTGCCTGTTGCTATGCCACAGCCATGATCAAGTGTGGTTCAGACTTCATTGGCTGATTTTTCAGAAGTAGATCATAAGGTCTTTCTTCCTAGGCCATCTTAGTCAGGAAGCTATCTTATCATCTCTTAGATAGCGGTTTAGCTGTGTTTTTGTGAGTTTATCTACAAACGGGAGCTCTGGTAGTGTAGTGCTAAGGCACTTGGCTGCTAACCAGAAGGCTGGAGGTTAAAACCCACCAGCCACTCCTCAGAAAGACTGTTGGGCAATCTACTTCTGTAGTGATACTGCCTCGGAAACCCAAGGAGGGGTCACTAGGAGTTGGGTCCAACTCAACGGCACATAACAACAACAATATTATGTACAAACATATAATCCGTATATGTCTGGTTTAAAGATTGAAACAAGACCAGGTGCCCACAACCTGCCCTGGGAAATAGAATGTCTCCAGCACCTTGAAGCCCTGTGTGTGGCTCCCTGGTGGTGCCTGGAAGAACCATCATCCTGAATTTTACATTAATCAGTGCCTTGCTTTTCTCTGGAGTTTTACCACAAATGGATGTGTCATAAAGATACATATTGGTTTTGCCTGATTTTGACTTTCTTACAAATTGAAGCCCGTGGTCTTTCTACCACACCCACTGGAAGGAGTTGGCATCCTCATCTGGTTTTTATATCATCTCAGGAGTGAGGTGGCCCCACTCTAATAAGGGGTGAGGGAATGTTTCCCATTCCAATGAATTCAGTGCCATCAAGTCGCTCTTGCAGCTTTCCGCAAGAGAACTAATTGATTGTGCTCATCTGATGTGGAAAATTGAGACATTTGCAGTTAAAAGGAGGTGGAATTTTGCATCAAAGGACCTGATTTTGAGTCCAACACACATCACTCACAGTCGTGTGGCCTTAAACAAACTGTCCTGAGTTTTCTTTTCTGCAAAATGGGGTAATGAGTCCTAACCCACAGGGCTGGTATGAGGAATACTTTTTGAAAAGAATATCAAGCATGTGAAAAGTATTTTATAAATTATGAGGTGCTATACAAGTTTAGGCGCTCTGGCGACATAGTGCCTAAGGCATTTGACTGCAAACAGCAAGGTCAGCGGTTCAAACCCACCCAGCTGTCCACTTAAGGAAAATAGGGCCATCTGCTTCTGTAAAGATTTACAGCCTTGGAAACCCAAGGGGGTCACTATGAGTCAGAAATGACTGGATGGCAGCGAGTAGCAGTAGTAGTCCCCAGGTGGTATAGACAGTTAACACATTTGGCTGCTAACAGAAAGATTGGAGGTTCAAGTCCACCCAGAAGGGACTTGGAAGAAAGTCCTAGCAATCTTCAAAATAATCAGTCATTGGAAACCTATGGAACACAGTTCTACTCTGGTACACATGGGGTAGCCATGAGTCGAGGGCAGCTCAATGGCAGTTAATAGCAATGACGTAGAAAATTTATTATGCTAAAGTGTGGGTGTCTGGCATCTAATGGGACTCAGGGCATAGGGGTGCCAAGGATGCATATTGCTCAGTAGAAAGGCGTGTAGAAATCCTCAGAGTAATTTGGTAAGAAGTGAGCCCCTAAATATGCTAATGAGGGGATGTTCCAGAATTGTGGTTATGAGGGAAGGTCCGAGAATAGTGCTATCTCAGGCCTGTCTTGGTTATGCCACTAGGCAGGCCAGGCTGACTGATAGACAAACAATAGAAAGAGGTGTGCAATGCATGTACCCCTTCCTTGAATCTCATTGCTGGGGTCCAACTCAACCCTCTCCTCTTCTCATTCTTCACCTGGCCCTGGACAGCTGAGTTCACTCTTCTGCCACCCATACTCCAGTGACTCCTGACTCCACATTTTCAGCTCTGGTCTGCTACACAGCTCATCTTGGCTGGCGGTGCTGCAGACCACCTCAATCAAGAAGGGCAAGAACTGAACTTGTCACCCCCTTCCACCTTAACCCTGTTTCTCCTCCTGTGTTGAAAGAACTGCAACTCCCCCAGCTACCAAATCCAGGAACCAGGGAGTCATCTGTAGACTCTTCTTTACTCTTCAGTCCTGCTGACTCCATTACTAAACAACTGTCACCTTCGTACCCAGTTTTCCCACTTCCATCGTCCATAGCCTTGGCTCTCAAGGAGAAGGTTTCACCCTCTAGGGGGGTTTTGGAAATTGTAGGAGCATTTTTGACTGTCACAATGATTGCCTATGAGGAATAAAAGTGTTCCTGAGTCTCTGGGAGATTCAAATGACCCCTCCCACTGATTAAGGCAAAATCTAACCCATGTAATTGAAGATTGAATATTTTCAATGTAAAACTTCTGAATATGAGACTTTTTTCATCATTAAAATCCTACGAAGAAGTGAATTGTTGGCCTTAAGCCTACCTTTCAACTCTCAAGCTTTTAAAATCAGTTAATTCTCAGCTCAAGGACAAAGTGTGGGTTTAGTTGGAAAAATTCCCTTTGCTTTAGCAACCACAAAGTCAGACTTTCCTGCCCTGGTGCAGATCAAAGCAGCTTGACCCAACTTTATCTCCATTGGTCAGTTCACAGTATTTGATGATGCCCAAAAGAAACACAGACTACAAAAAGGCAGAAGCACGAGGTCTGCGTTTGCACACATGGGTCTGCAGGTCACAGCTTGAGGACTGGCAGCTGTGCCCTGAGTGGGCAGGCCCCAGTCCTCGCCTCTGAGGAGCATATACGTCCCTGAACGTATAGGCCCTTCTACAAAGTGCTATCTCATCTGCTTGTTTCCTGCCACTTTGATCCTTGCCTGCAGCCAGCAGCCATCTGCCCAGGACGGTTAGAGATGATCACAGAAACCTTAAGGTGCTCAGTACAGGGAGCTCAGTACCCAGAGTACAGCCTGGTTCTTAGCCCTCGAAGGGGGATTTCCCTCCCATAGAAAACTCACTGCCAACTAGTCAATTCCAACTCATAGTGATCCTATAGGACAGAGGAGAACTGCCCTATAGGGTTTCCAAAGCTATAAATCTTTACAGAAGCAGACTGCCACATCTTTCTCCTATGGAACAGCTGGAAGGTTTGAACTGCCAACTTTTTGGTTAGCAGCCCAATGCTTTAACCACAGGGCATCAATT